ATTAGATCATCTAATTATAACTATTAAATACATAAAACATAATTTTAAACACTAATTTTATTAAATTTATCATGTGATTATTATTGCACATTTTTACATTTTTAATGTCAAAATATTATTATTTTCTCTTTGTTTCATAAAAAAATTATAAATTATTAGCCTCCTCAATATCTAATTTTCTATTTAAAATAAAAAGCAATAATCAAGAAATATCTATTTGTTAAAAAATATAATATATACATACATATATTTCTCATTCATTCCTAGTTTAGATAAAAATTATCTATATTAAGATTTTCTATTTTAGCTTCATAAGGAAGTTTTTTAAATTTAACTTATTTTTATCATGGTCCTAATTTAACTTATTTTTATAATTTAACTAAACAATAGTCATTACCGCATACCAAACATGATTCTAAGAGAAAAAATGATTAGTTGACCATTGATAGGAACATTCTAATAAAAAAAGGCCAATAATTTTTATTGATTCTTTTCACTGAATTAGATGTGTAAATAAATACCATACATCCTCTTTTTTTTTTTTTTTGGCAGTGAACATACGTCTATCTATTTGATGCTATATAGTTGTTGAGAGGATTTATTATTCCTGGAATCAAAGTTATTATAGAAATGGGAAATGAATGGAAAAGGAGAAATGAAAACAAATAATTAAAAAAAAATCCTCCTAAATCCCACGTTTATGAGGAAGTTTGAGTAAATTTGATACATAAATGTAAAAAACAACTATTTCTAATAATTTTTAATTTTGTAACACTCTAAATCTCATGTTTATGAGGAAATTTGAGTGAATCTAATACAGAAACATGAAAACCAACTATTACTAATAATTTGTATTTGAGGTTCTAAGAGTCCATAAATTTTAACTTGAAAAGTAGTTTTGGTAGATTTCTAAATATTGAATTAAGATTTTGGTTTTTAAATATATATCAAAACTCTAATTTTTTTTTTCGTATTAATCTCTTGGTAACCACATTGGGTCCAATTAATAAAAAATCGAATCATGTCAGACCCCATAATTAAAGGAGAAGTTATCCCAGCACCTATTTTTTCATTTATAAAACTTGAACTCGAAATTTTATTTAAAAGGAATTGAACTCCTTCCACTTAGACCAACAAGTCGTTGGTAAAACTCTAATTATATATATATGAAAAATACATATCAATTTCGATTAAAAAAATAATATCCTAACTTTAAACAACTTTGTTTATTTAATTAAAA